TACTTGCGACCCAACATGCATTCATTCGGTGTATATTATCTAAGAGGTTTTTATGAATATGAGGGTTTACTCTTTAAATGGCTGCAACTCAAAAACTATTTGAGATATCGATTTGAAATTCTAATTGCTATTTTTAAAGGTATAAACTATCGAACAAAATTTCACGCTAGCTGTGTCCCTTAGGACTTAAGAGACATTCGATCACTAGCCATTAATTCGGTGCTCAAGCTAGGCAATAACTTCTTCGCCTACGTTTTACTGAGACAATTTCCTACTAAATAAATTAAACAAAACTAGAAAGAGGCGGTAAATTAAAGATCTTGATAAATAATTTACACTCGCTGAGTTGAAAAATGTCGCCCCGATGGGATCGAACGGGCAATAACTTTCATGAACCTACAATTAAATAGGTAGGTTAATATCGAGGTATGCATTGGGTTCTATTGTCTATTGTGCTCTCCTCTTTCTCACATTACATCTTCCAAACCCTGCGTGTCACGAAATTCTAACAATGCACTTGAAATAAGAGAGGTAAAGTGTTTCCTTTGCATCGTTTCTCCGATTCCCTTGCTCCAAGTGTGGACCAAATACCAATTTTTTTTATATAACATCTCAGACTGCAGTAACCTATATACCAAAAACCTGTACAAGTATTCCCTGTCCGAACTTATTCAGAGTATATACATATAATGTTCGCGAAGGCAAAAGTTTGCAATCAGTCCCTCCTAAGTATACTCTGAACAGGGTATATTAAGTTTGCCATAATGTTTGTAACACCCTAAAAGAAACAAGGAGCAGGTACTTATAAAAAATATATATATAAAAGATCAGCGTCACGAGCTGAAGTCGATTTAGCTTTTGTCATCTGTCAGTCCGGTTGTCTGTATATAGGAAAACTAGTCCCTCAGTTTTTGCATTATCAACCTGATATTTTGCACACGTTCTTTTCTCCTCAAGAAATTTGTCGGAACCGCCGATATCAAACTATTATACAAGTAGCATATAGCTGTCATACAAGTTGAACGATCGGAATCAAATGCTTGTATAGAAACATTTTTATTTGACAGTAAAAGCAGCGCTAAATTTTCCTAATATAATGTTCAGATCGGTCCACTGTAGCATGTAGCTGTCATACAAACTAACCGACCTAAATCAAGTTCCTGTATTGAAACTATTTTATTTGTGAAGGGTATTCTAGCTTCGGTGCAACGGAACTCACCGTACATATATCTTATTATTTTTATTTTTATGTGAGGTTTAGTGTGCGCCGCTTCCATATCTGAATAGTCTGTGTCTCATTTCTGTCTAAACCTTTTTGTCCAGTACTATAAGACTATTCAATCTCATAAGATAATATTGCCTGAAGTGCTGTTAGACTGTTTCTAAAGACGACAATGCGTTTTTTATGATTATACAGTGCAAAATCAAACCGTAATAACTTTTTTCTGTGTGCGTAATCGACTTACTTTTTTTTATTTGGCAGGTTATTATTTAAATTTTTTAAAAAAAGAAAGCTTGTGCAGCAGTACAATGCTTTGCAGTCCGTCATTTCCGTCCAAAGGGAATTCAGACGGGATTTTGGCGGCACTCGTACACGAGTAGATGAACCATTAAGTGGTTGGTTAACATGTTTGTGTTCAAGAAACCATCGCAGCAGTTACATCGTCAATGCACGCAAATCCAAGAGTTACAACTCGCAACTTATCGGCGCAACTTGGAATTAGCAGACGGTCATTACAAGGGATAATTCAAATTGACGTAAACCTGTTTCCGCACAAAGTTCAAATAACGAGCCGATTAAACCCTCTAGATTTACCAACCGAATGGAATTTGCCAAAAAATGATTGAAATGGCCGAAGAAGACAATAACTTAATAAATTGCCTGCTTATGTCTGATGAGAAACTCCACTTCCCGCTGGCCCCAAAAGTCACCTGAGCTGACTGACACAGACTTATTTTTATGGGGTTATGTCAAGCAAAACAAAACCCAGAAATTTGACTGAATTGAAGCAGTCCATTAAATCGATAATTGAGGCAATCCCGGACACCTCATCATCAATCCGTTCCCACGACAGTCGGGTCTACGTAACTGGAACGGACCCGCATTTATTCCGGCCAAGGACTGTGAACTCGGCAGAATTCTGCCGCTACAACAACAACAACCTCATCATCAATTCCGTTCGCGGTTGTCGATTCGGCGATGTACCGATAATGAAGTCATCCCAGTTAGCTTTGTCCTCAATTAGCTTAAAGTTAGGTTATTAAAGTCAAGACAAGTATTGATGAATGGTCTAATGCTAAAGGTAGCCCAGATAGGCATTAATCAGATAACCAAGTCAGTTGGCTATTGTATTTAAAGTCTGGCTTTGGCCTCTAAGGCAACCCACCCCTAAATATTACAACATACAATACTTCCTCAGCTGCTATAACAACAAGTATGCGTAACCACAGAGAACTTTACGATTGTATTTGTTATCCCTGGTATAAAGATAGTATGACTAATCTCTCAACTCTCCTATATTTGTTTTACTGCATTTACTGTACACATACGAGTATGTACATACATACATATTTACCTATTAAACAAAGACAAAATGTATATGTGAGAAGGCTATACATGCCAAAAATTGAGGTTAGTTAGCAGTATTAGGATCCACATGCCAGTTGTTGTTGTACCGACAGAAAACGGTTCCGAAATAATCCTTGCCCGAATAAAAATGTCAATCCGATTAAGCACGACTGTCTGAAAGCGGTATTATTGTCCTTTCAAATATTGCAACCCAACAGCAAATTATTAGAGCAACGTTTTATACTATTACAGTTACAACTTTCCATTAAACTTCTGCTTTAGTTTAAATTCTGCCGAGTTGACAGTCCTAGGCCGGATAAAATCCGTGACCATTCTGGCTACGTAGACCCGACTGTCGTGGGAACCGACTATTTATTTGTAGAAAATTAAACCTGTTTCTCTAGTTAAATCTAGTCTAGTTAGTAGTCTATCAATCAGAAAAATCAAAAAGTTTTCGCATAATTTTTGTACTTAATTATGTATTATTGTATATGCATTTAAACCTTACAAAATTTAAAAATTGAAATAGTGTCAAAGGCATTAAGCAATATGAATAAAACATAAAGACTACGTTGAGATGCAGCCCACTTGAGAGTTTCACATCTTTTCATTTCTGTTTATTTATATATTTTAAATTCATGTGTAAATACATTAGATTTATTTCATTAAAAAGTAGGAGCATATATGTATATAGACAAATACAGTAATAATTTAAATAATTAGTTTGTCTCCTAAGTATTGGAGAACACTAGCATTGGAGCATTTTCGAAAATGCTTTAAATCACCGTTTACGTCTAAACGCAGAACAAGCGCGCATTTCAACTATTCGCACGCCGTTTTAACTACGCTCCTATGTTTTACCCTTATTTCTCGTCTCCTAACTACTAATATATGTATTTATGTATGTGCGAAATGCATTTTATTCGTCCTTCTATTCAGTGGCAGCCATTGCACGTGCCTGAGCCCGCACACGTTTTTCATACTCCAAACGATTTTGACAGTAGATTGTGTATGCCTCTGCCTGCGCTGGATCCTTAATGTTCGGTTCATTCAGCAAATCTTGAATGCCAAGCAATATCTGTTTAATGGTAATGGCGGGGCGCCAATCTTTCTCCTCATCCAGCAATGACAAACAAACTGTTCCAGAGGGATACACGTTAGGATGGAAAAGTGGCGGTTCGAATTTACATTTTGGTGGTGATGTTGGGTAGTCATCTTTGAAGATCATACGCAGTTTGTAGAGACCACCTTCCCAAGCGGTGCCCTTCTTACCGGGAATCGCACATTCCCAAATCATAAGGTTGAGAGTGCCATCTGGATTTTTGGCTGGACGGGCGACAAAACCAAATGGGTGATCCTTGCGCCAAGCTTTGCGTTCTTCACCTAAGCGCGTAATTGCTATTCCTGACATTTTGTTAGCGAATTTCTATTTTCACTCCTTACAATAAAAATGTCTCTTTCGTTCGCTTTTGTTCTATTTTCTTCTATACCCGAACTATCACGATTTTCTCCTCGGTAATGTTGAAATAAAGTTGTCTTTCGTCAGATCTCTAGATTTCGAAAAAATTTAGTAATCACATATAAACAACAACAGAAAATAACAACGTCTTACATTTTCTTTATATTATTTAGTTCCTGCTTGATTTAGCACGCGGATTTTGGAGTTTATGAACAAAACTTCCTTAATTTAACCGCTTAATTCGTGCGTTGAGCAAGATATGTCGTTGAATGCGTTTTGGCGACTGTCAAAAATGACAGCTGCAAGAAAAACTACAAGAAAACGCTGAATATATGGCGTCATTGCAAGGTTGCATTCAAAGGCATACCTTATAATTGTATTTGGATATAGATTTTGATTTGCATTAACTTTTCTCATCTACGAAATTCGCTGATTGATATTTTCTGTTGCGGAATGGTTTTTTTTTTAAGTTTTCGCTATATATTAGAGACTTTGTTAGAATACGGTGAACTATCAATTCGGATTTAATCGAGCATCATTCAAAATTCGATTTGCACCTTGACCGTTTACGTTCTCTGTCACAACCTGACTAACTTACTCATTAGGCATTTCCATAGTTTGAGAGCCAGCGTAACAAAAATTATCACCTTACGCGTATATGTATGCACGAATGTAATCCGGACGTTACACGATCAAGAAATTACTTTCAAGTTGAGGAAAAATTACGATTCTTTTGTCCTCAGAATTAAAAGAAATGCTTACAGACCGCCTCCGACTTATAATTTTTGAGATATTTGTATTTAAAGTAAAAAAATTTGATATCGTATTGCACGCTATTGCACTATGTTTAACACACTTTCTACACATTTGCCAGTGCAGAAAGAAGTTCGACGCGATATAATTGATATAACTTATCTCTATTTATTAAAGAATATATAATATACAATTCATATGAATGAAACAAAATTCATATTAATTTTGAACCATTGTCCCTTTATATGATAACCAGAAAATTTTTTCATTAATTTTTCACAACACAGAATGTGGCAATACTGGTAAACACACAAATTTCTTGAAACTGTGAGTATGCATTACTTTACAATTGTTGAACCAAGTGTCATCCTTGGTTGAACTTTAAATACAAATATATTGAAAACTATAAACCTGAGGCGGGTATATGCGTATACATTTTTTTTAATGCTAAGGACCTCCGCTGTCCATCCATACAAAAAGATTGCGGCGCCAAATAGTCGTAATTGTGCCCAAAATGCAAATGCACTAGAAATTTTCTGTTTATCAAGTTTAGTTTGTGTGATCAACTTGAAAGCAAATTCTTGATAGTGTAACTCCAGCGCAAGGCAAGACCATTTCTAAAAAAATAAACAAAGCAATAAATTATTTTTCATAAAACGTACCATACTTATGTTATTATAATGGATAACATTATGATGCAATTATTGATTATTAATAAATAAATTTACCTCTTTATTTATTCTACTGTGAGAATAGGTAGCAACAAGACTTAGAAAATAATTTGAAAATGGTATAATATATATTTTTTATTTCTAAATTAAAGTCGACTTGTTTGAAATTTAATTTAAATATTGATTTCTTTAATGATCTCCAATTTCTTCTTTCTCATGAAACACAGCCAAAAGCAGTCATTGGGTACTGATGACATTTAATTGACAGCCTGTCAAGAGTTTTCACAAGATGTCGTCTAGTCGAGTAGTTGAGAATGTTATCCCAATTTTATTTTTAATTAAATTTTACATTTCTAGTTATCTATTTTCAACGAAAAGTGTTTAAAAACCTAGTTATCGAACAGGACGAGTGTTTTGCGATGAACGAAAACGTGTGCGAGTCTAATTGAACTATTTATTAGCTTTGAAAATTAGTCGAAAAGTGACAAAACCAATTGGACCCAGCCCCAATGCCAAAAGTGGGAAAAATCGAAGTCCAGAGATTGTTTGAACAGCAGTTGCAAAATAGCATTGCAGTAATTTCGTTCTATAAAATTAATATGTTAAGTAGTAAATGATGTTGGAATGTGTGAAGTTTATATAAAATGTAAAAATATAAGGAGAAGTGTAGTGTAAATTACGCCAATGGGATGTGATATTTATTATCTATGTGTATGTTTTTCTTTTTGTAAAATCAATTGCGACTGATTAATCCGTTAGTTTTAAGAATAAAAAAATAAGGCAATTACAAGATGGAAATGGTTGTCGAAGAGACTGATAACAACTTCGGATTCCCCGAAGCGGGAACCTGGAACAATACCAGCCACATACCGCTGGAAAACATGAAAATGGATGCGCCAATGGTAAGTACCAATTGCTTCGATAATATAATAATAAAAATAAGCCTAACATCATCAGTTAAAAAAATATTTATAGCAATGGCAGATTATCATATGCATTCTGGAAGACTGCGATATACCACATAACTTAGATTTCTTTGTTCTTATATGAGATATGTCTTTATTTGCAATAATGCATACGAATATATACATATATATATATTTATATATATACATATACACATACATAAATATGAGTTCTAAAATGATTCATGGTGTTAGTGTAATATTATTTATTCTATTCTATGAAAATCTTATCGCTTGTTCCGATAAAAAAGCTGGTTTAAAAGCATATTTGTTTGATAAATCTATGAAGCAAGTCCAATCATCCAGCTGTACTCTTGCTTTTTGTTGGTATATCATTGAAATTTTATTTAAAAATCAATTGAATTTCTATGCCTCGTTTTGTTCTTTTAGGTTTGGTTGGAATTATACTTATCTCTTCTTATTATAGTTGCGACATCTTTGCCCTATTTTTTTCGGAAGCCTTCTTACGTACATACATATACTCGTATATCTACACATATTATGTATGTATATACGTACGTATATACAAATATAAATAAAATTTTACATAGAGCATCTGACGGATCAATCTGGAGTTTAGCACTATTTATGAGCGAAAAATATACAACCATTATCCCTAATTACAATTAGTATTTGCTACTTTTGGACTGTATAGAGAACCAAAAACTCCCGATCGGAGATGTGTTTAGGTGTTTTACGAATTATGCAAATTAAACACAGTCATGTTAATGTTGTTAATGTTTATGAATTTGACATAAGCAGCTCATGCGCATAAGCTTTGTTTTGATTTGGCTGCTTTGTTTATTTACATTTTTGTTTTTGTGTTTGTTTATTATGAAGCTTGGGTGTTTGACCTCAGTCAACAAGTTGTCAAATAGATGTTGATCATATGCATGGGAAGTGTGGGTGGTTGGTAAATAACACCGGTGTGTTGCAACCTGTAGAGCACTTAGTTTAAAATTAGATGGGTTTCAAGATTTATAACAGTACGATACACAGCACCAAGTTATCAGGGGCACCGCAACCCTCTTGCTTCTCAGACACTTTCGAATTATTACTGAGATTGCCATATTTTGTAGTATTTATATGTAAAAATTTTACATAACATTCTTAGAATGTCATACTTTAATGTACCATTGGTTGTAATAAATGGTTTTTCCTGCGTAGTCTCAAAAAATTTAAATAAACATGATAGTTTTTGCTGAATTAATCCCACCCCCCCTTAATCCTGTTAATCATTTTATATAAAGCAATAAATTAATTTTTTTTTGAAATTTCCAGATATGGCTACTATGCTCTCTACTGACATCCATAACTTGGGTTACCTATATAACATTTTACAATTCTCGCCTGATTGGAGTTTTTATAACAAAAATTGTTAATCGATGGTTTATAAAAGGCGCATACTTTAAAATTGGTAACTTTCTCTATTTAAACATAAGCACGATATAAATAAATTTGTTGTAATTCTTTTTCAGGTTCAGTAGCATTGAATCCTTTGGCGGGAAAAATCATGTTCCGTGATTTCGTATATATAACCTTCGACTATTCCGTACGCGTTCAAGATGGTTATTTTATATTTCGTTGGTGGCGATCTTATGTTCCCAAAGATGTTTCCGAAGGTTGGCTATTTATTAAAATGTAATTATTGAAAAAACTAAATCGAAAATGATACTAATTCAAGATCTCTCACATTCGGATACACGGCTCTCTGTGCAATTAAATGGGTTTGAGCTTCACATCTATAACCGCTCCGACCTTTATGATCAACTGGAGAAAACGTTTGGATTAAAGCCGTCGCTTCTAATACCGGTAAACTTTCATAATAAAGTATGTACAAATTTTAAAACCGATTAAAAACTCTTACTGTTATAGACTGATAATTTATCTGCTGAAGAGCGTTCAAAACTTAAAGAACACACTATGAACATGGAAAATGCTCGCCAAAGTAAGCGCGAGAGCGTTAAGAATTCGGAGGCAATGAAAGCCACCACATGGCGAGATTTGATACCGGTCATTAAGATGGATATTTGCTCAGGCCGTTTTGTTTTCGGCAATCGCTTGACACCAACAACTCTGTCGATTTCGGTGGAGGAGGCGCACTGTACGTACAGTACCAAACCTGCTGTATGTCGGCTCGACCATTTCATGCATTTTGTGAAAGCAAATGTGGAGAATGCAAAAGTTATGTTTGCACCCAGCCCAAAGTATACCGGTTTGGTGGATGAACCGCCACGCTACATGGGCGAGGGTTTTGTCGTTATGATGTGTAATCAAATGGAATTGTATTTTTATATGGACGAGCCCGGTTTGGTACCAGAAGAACCAGTGACAATTATTCTGGCCAATGGTGACGTCGTTGAACCCTCGCCACCCGTTTGGGGTATCAATATAAAATGTTTGAAAGGCACTGATTTTAGTTATGGCCCATGGGCGGATCGTCAACGTGATCATCTCTTCAATTTTTTCTATCCACCCGATTGGCAAGAGATGGTAGTTACACCGACACCCAAGCCGGGTGAGTTGCGCAGTTACCAATCATTCGATGTTACACTTTGTGTGCTGAGTGAAGCCACAATTGATATACTCTTTTCAAAAGAAAAAGAAACAAATGCCATGCATATTACCGTGGGACCAGCCTCATATGTGGAGTTGACCATACCGTGGGTAACACATGCTGATGGCTACACTTCGAAAATTCAAGGCCAACTCTTTCATGTCGAGGCCACCACTTCACTGCAGTACCGCAGTCTAGCCGAGTTGGAGTCACTTGAGTATAAAGTGCGCATACACTACCCAACACTTTGGAACGCGCCGCAAGATTGGAGCATCGCTTTAACTGGTTGCAAAGCGACTGCTTTCATTGTTTACAAGCATAAGTGCTTCTTTCAGGATCTCATCGAGGATTGGGCTAGCAAAGCCAGACCCGACATTTTAGCCTTCGTACCATACACATGCAAATTTAACATACTCTTGAATGAGTTTGAGATTCTAATGCTCTGCAATGAGTACAATTGGATCGATTGTTCGAGTGCGAATCAGGAAAATAATCATTTGGCGTTCTGTGGCGACGTATTCGATATGAGTTTCGCGCTGCCCTTCGATGATTTCCTGCCCAAAACAGTAACGCTCAAATTTTGGATACATGGCGAAGGTTTAGATTTAAGTTTGTATGTGCCAGAGGTATCTTCGGCACGTCCCATTGTTTTGGCTATTGATGAAAACGCGCGACTTTTGACACGCGGCGGCCGCGTTAAAAGCCGTCCGGAATTGTATACGAAGAAATGGCGAAAAATATGCCAGCGCAGGTTAATAATCATTAATATGTTTAAATTAGGAACATTATTAAAAAAGTTGTATTCTTTTTTGTTGTTGTTTTATTCTTTCTACAGCGCCGGTTGGATAGACTGTTGGACTGTTCCGATTGTAGCACTATCAATTCAGTACGTTTACCATCCTGTGCCGCCGTTGGGTCCCGATCCACAAGCTGATATCACTACGCCTGAAAAAGAAGAAATACTACTGAGCCCAATGCGCATACCTAAAATACGAAAGTCGCCTGTGTCCTCTTGGCAAAAACCCGAGCAGCATAAATTCGATCCAGCCACCCTAGCAGCTGATCAGGTAACCGTCGAACTGGAGATCGGCTCTTCGGTACTGATGTGTTACGGTAACGTGTTACGTAACTTTATAAACTTAAAAGAAAACATATTTGGAGAAGATCAAAACTTCACCGACATGGAACAGTCAAATGTTAATTTGAAGGAGTGCACCTCAACCAGCACAACAGCAAACCCGAAAGATCAGCTGCTGTCGAAAGAGAAAGATATAGCCACAAAGTCCATTTCGGAGGTGACTGTAACAGAGGAGAAGCAAAAACCATTCGATCCACGCCTATATCGCCCCTTGGAAGTGATAGTTTCACTGATCATACACGATATACAAGCACATGTGATGAAGAATTGCAACGAGAACGATCCGCCATGTCCAGTTGTTTTGATAGAACGATTCGGTTTCGAGATGAATAAACGCTTTCACGAAACCACGCTGCAAGTTTTGGTTAGTCCCTCATATTTGATCACTTCGGATCTGGTAGTGCGTCCGAATCGCGATAAGCATATAAATCAGGGGCACTTATTGCTCTCAGCTGTGCAGGTACGCGGTCATGCCATGTTTAGTAACGAAGGCTGCGCACTTGACGAAGACACCTTGGAGTATTCGTGGCTAGTTGAAGTGCAGCTAGGAAAGTTGTCAGGAAAGCTTACGTTACCACAGCTCTGCAATATAGTTGTCGGCTTGGAGACCCTGGTGCTGCTGGCAGTGGATCCCGAAAATTGTCTAAAATCTCCCA